GGCTATTTCGCAAGGATATTGGTGGCCATATATGCAAGCAGACTCAGAGAAATATGTGAAGAAGTGTGAAAAATGCCAACAAGGTCATGCCCTTTGGCCTAAAGAACGCAGGGGCGACATTCCAACGGATGATCACCAAGATGTTTGAACCATTGTTAGGCAGAACAATGGAAGCTTACATAGACGACATGGTGGTCAAGAGCAAGGACGAGAAGGACCATCTCAGGGACCTAGATGAAATGTTCCAGATCCTAAAGAAAAACAAGTTGCGCCTTAATGCATCCAAGTGTGCATTCGGTGTAGGATCAGGCAAATTCCTAGGCTTCTTGGTGACCAACCAAGGTATCGAAGCCGACCCCTCTCAGATCAAAGCAATCCAGGAATTGGAGAGACCAAACTCAGTCAAAGAAGTACAGCATCTTACTGGCATGGCGGCTGCACTCAACCGATTCATCAGCCGATCGTCAGACAGACTACAACCATATGTGGTATGTGAAATATTTTATTTAACAACTATTGGTGTCAGGGGTGATGTACGAAGGGTCCCCGGGGGGGGGGGGGGGTCAAGATACGCCTCCCATTTTCTATTAGGTACGTGCCTACTCCATTGATACTAAAAATGATGTGTTTGGTTGAGTTAAAATTAAAGATTTCAATTTGTGCTAAAATTAGGGATTTTGACTTCTTGTGAATTGTGTTAAAAATAAGTGATTTTAGTTGTGTATATATGGGGAAAAAAATGATGGCATTAATAATGATACTACTATGGAAAGTTTTCGAAAGATGAAAATTTGTAAAAGAACTTAAGCATAGCTCAAGTCGTTGTACCTCTAAGTTTCTAGAGGGAGGTTTTGGGGTTCAAGCTTTAAGAGAAGCATCGAATGTTTAGTAGTACTAACTTCCTAATCTGCTAATATTTTAAAACTTTTGTAATGAAAATTTAGATTTTTATGCTTAATATTAGCTTAAAAAATTAGTATTATCTTATTGTTGTTGATTTTGGATAGAAAACTTTTGCGAGTGTAATATATAGTGACCCGTTGAATTAATTTCTTGGCTCCACCATTGATTGTTGTGATGTTATTTGATGCACCTTTTGGTTGTAGGGTCTTCAATATAATGAGTGGAGGTTTGGCAAAAACTCCCGTACCTTTCCTTAAGCTTAAATCATTAATTTTGAACCATATAAAAATCACTATTTTTTGCTGATATATGTGATTTTTATAAAGTCATTGAATTATTAGCATGCTAGGCAAAACACTTCTGTCACATTTTTTTGTTAGATTCCTTCAATGGGACATAAAGTCCATGGCCCAATCCCTCCCTTACCCCACATTTCCAATACCAGCACAGAGCTTTTCCATGACAGATAATACAACTAACCTTCTCTCAATATCAGATATTTTTTGCTTTTTCTTTTTCTTTTTTCAAATTGCAAGTTTCTACTGCACATAATGTCTTTAGTTGGTGGTATAAGCACATTGATGTGTTTGTGTTACATCCTTGCATGTGTTAGGAATCCGAAACTCATAACTAGGATTGGTGAGACGCGAAAAATAGAGAACAGCAAAAATACAAGATTTGTAAAACACGCCCACACGTAAGAATTTTGTTGTTCACTTCAAAAATATATTCACTGCTGTGATACATCAAATGTAGCCTCTGTTGTGCCTATGTAGCATGGTCCCAGTTAGCTAGTTCAATAGTATGGAGTTCTGCCCATTAAAATTGATTAAAACAGAATCTGATCACCCTACGTACTTGTGCTGTATTTGTACGTTTTTTTGAATCATTCGATATTGGAGCTCTACTGCTAGAGTGTCTGGTATTTATGCAACTTGCCTGTGAGAAAATATAGATGCATCATGAATATCCATGGATTCATTTATCCATTCCAAACCAAGTCATCCTCGTGGCTTCCATTTAGAAGAAGTTGTTATCTACCATTACCAAAAGCTGTCAGTTGTTTATTCCTGAATCTGAAATGCTACTCACCTGGAAGATCTTTTAAGCTTTGAACTGTTTATTAAATTGTACTGAATATAACTCTGTATGAAATGCAATATCTATTATCTTTAGAGCATCAACCTAAATTTTGTCTCGAAATTGGTTTCTGAGAATTGCTTGTCATGTGCTTATTACTTGAGCTAATTGGAAAAGGAAAAACAATTGTTTCTCCTGTTACTATGATCATTCATGTTTTAAGCAATGTGCATAGGTGGGTGAAGATGAATTTGGATACATGCTTGCTGATATTTTAAAGGAAAATAATGTAAACAATGAAGGAATGCGCTTTGACCCTGGTGCCCGAACTGCTTTAGCATTTGTGACACTGAGAAATGATGGGGAGCGTGAGTTCATGTTTTACTGCAATCCTAGTGCTGATATGCTGCTTCAAGAAACTGAACTTGATTACGATTTAATTAGGAAGGTAATTGAGGAGTATTTTGATAACTAAATAAAAGGGAAACAATGAGGAGGAACTAAATATTATAAACCCACTTTGTTTTTATTTCAGTTGTTGTCTACCAAGTCATTTTCTTCGAAAGGGACTCAGTTTATGCCTCCCCTCTTGCTCCTCTTCCCTCTGTCTATGCCTCTGAGCATTTATGTCATAAAGGGCTTCAGTTTTTGAAGTATTTACAGTTTATCTACCCATATTTGGAGTCTGCTTCTGGATATATATGATTATGTTCGTACCACAATACACATAATTGTGTTTTTATTATATGTTCAATTGTGTAAAAAAATCTAGTAATTTATAACACCCTCTGGCGGGCAAAAATTGTTCATTATGGTTCCATAAGTTTGATTACAGAACCATGCAAGTTAGCCCATATTGCAGCAGCAAAAGCTGCAAAAGATGCTGGTGTGATTTTGCCTTACGACCCCAATCTGAGGCTGCCATTGTGGTCATCTGCCGAGAGTGCCAGAGAAGGAATTTTGAGTATATGGGAGATCGCTGATATTATTAAGGAATTCTGGTTCACAAGCAAACTGGTGTGGTGTCTGTGAATCCATTAAGATGCATATCGCTCTCTTGGTTAAGTACCATTCTAAGGGGGTGGTTTTCTCAGTTAATGAGTTGCTCTTTAATTTGAATTCTATCAGGGGGCTTTGAGATGTGGTTGTTGCTGCCTTTCAGTGGTTGCTGCTGTCTTGTTGTTGTGTTGTTCTCCTTGGTGTCTCCACAATACACATAATTGTGTTTTTATTATATGTTCAATTGTGTAAAAAAATCTAGTAATTTATAACACCCTCTGGCGGGCAAAAATTGTTCATTATGGTTCCATAAGTTTGATTACAGAACCATGCAAGTTAGCCCATATTGCAGCAGCAAAAGCTGCAAAAGATGCTGGTGTGATTTTGCCTTATGACCCCAATTTGAGGCTGCCATTGTGGTCATCTGCCGAGAGTGCCAGAGAAGGAATTTTGAGTATATGGGAGATCGCTGATATTATTAAGGTATTCTTCATGTTAAATGCATAAATGGATAAATGTCACAATGCAATAATGTAAATGGAAACTGCATTTCTGATGATTCTGTTTAAATTATTTATTAGATAAGTGAAGAAGAGATATCATTTTTAACACAAGGGGGAGGATCCATATGATGATGCTGTTGTACGTAAATTGTTTCATCCAAATCTTACTTTGCTCCTTGTCACTGAAGGCCCAGACGGTTGCAGGTATTACACGAAGGTAATATTCCTCCAAATATATATCATTTTGTGGAATAAGCTATGCTGAAACACTGTACTCTTTTTGGTTTCTTAACTGTTTATTTAGCATGTTCCATTTACCTTTGATGAGTGAAAATATTCAGTCATACTGCAGTGGGATGAAGATAGATGCACTTGGGCTGAAGAGATCATTACATTCCGTTCACCTTGCATTTTGACATATTTTCCTTGCTTTAGGAAACGAAAGTAAAGAGATTTTTTCTTTTTTGAAACAAAACTAAAAGGATTCTTCTTTTGAAGTGAGTATGGGGACAATAAAGTTCATCATCAAATTGCATTTCTGAGGTGTACCTCTTGACCTTCAAAATATCAACTGTGATTCTTCAAAAGCCACTAGAGATGTTATATCTGGATCTCACTTTTTGGTCAATCTGTCATATAAGCCAATTTATTTTGAGATGATATGCTTGGCAAATGCAATTTTTCTTTTTCTTTTCCTTCTTTTTTTTTGTTGTTGTTGTTTTTGTGATCCTAATGTCCCAATTTTTCTGCATGGCTGGGCTCCATTATATCTTTGTGAGTCAAGAACAATAACTGTTGGAATCTGTCATATAAGCCAATTTATTTTGAGATGATATGCTTGGCAAATGCAATTTTTCTTTTTCTTTTCCTTCTTTTTTTTTTGTTGTTGTTTTTGTGATCCTAATGTCCCAATTTTTCTGCATGGCTGGGCTCCATTATATCTTTCTGAGTCAAGAACAGTAACTGTTGGAGTTTTACATTCTTTCAGGAGTTCAGTGGCAGAGTTAAAGGTTTAAAGGTGGATGCGGTGGACACCACAGGAGCCGGAGATGCTTTTGTAGCTGGAATCTTATCAGAACTAGCTGCTGATGTCTCATTGTGTTGATGAGGTTTGACCCAAAGTCTCAAAGCATTGGAAAAACCGACATATTTCTCACTTCCCCACTATAGTAATATATGGGTAAATTATTCTGCAGTCTGGGATCACCATGCCATTTTGATCCTGATCATTCATGGGGCTGCTTATAGCTTTCTTGAAAAAAAATTAATGTAGATGCAACTTTTACTTGCAGCTTATGAGGCACAAATAATTTAAACTTCTGCTTTATGATTATTATTAGTTTTTAGCTTGCAACAAGCTTCACTAAACATGCTTCATGCTATGTACCTAAAAAAATTACCTCGAAAAGTATTTAGAAAATTACATCAATGGATTACATTCATTTTAGGTGTGGTTCACATCACACTAACTTTAAATCTACACAGAATACCTCACTTTTGGATTAATTTTCATAGTACAAATTCTGTGTACATAGGTAGCCAATTATGAGTGGTTGGAATAAAAATTGATGTGATAGTCTAGGACCAATGTGAGTTATGGAAACTTACGGAACTAGCACGGGACTCCCGGTTTGAAACTAAGTCCAAAAATGCATTTTTCCACACTTAAGCTTGAAAATAGGCATTCGGGAGCCAAAATCGTGCAACAGTCACGAGACGGCCCGAAAAACACCTCAAACACCTCAGGAAGGACCAATGTGAGTTGTGGAAACTTACGGAACTAGCACGGGACTCTCGTTTTGAAAACTAAGTCCAAAAATGCACTTTTCCACACTTAAGCTTGAAAATTGGTCTTTGGGGGGCCAAAATCGTGCAACAGCCACGAGACGGTCCGGAAAACACTTCAAACACCACGGGACGGACCAATGTGAGTTGTGAAAACTTACGGAACTAGCACGAGACTCCCGGTTTGAAAACTAAGTTAAAAAATGCACTTTTCCTCTTCCCTCTGTCTATGCCTCTGAGCATTTATGTCATAAAGGGCTTCAGTTTTTGAAGTATTTACAGTTTATCTGCCCATATTTGGAGTCTGCTTCTGGATATATATGATTATGTTCGTACCACAATACACATAATTGTGTTTTTATTATATGTTCAATTGTGTAAAAAAATCTAGTAATTTATAACACCCTCTGGCGGGCAAAAATTGTTCATTATGGTTCCATAAGTTTGATTACAGAACCATGCAAGTTAGCCCATATTGCAGCAGCAAAAGCTGCAAAAGATGCTGGTGTGATTTGGTCTTACGACCCCAATCTGAGGCTGCCATTGTGGTCATCTGCCGAGAGTGCCAGAGAAGGAATTTTGAGTATATGGGAGATCGCTGATATTATTAAGGTATTCTTCATGTTAAATGCATAAATGGATAAATGTCACAATGCAATAATGTAAATGGAAACTGCATTTCTGATGATTCTGTTTAAATTACTTATTAGATAAGTGAAGCAGAGATATCATTTTTAACACAAGGGGAGGATCCATATGATGATGCTGTTGTTCGTAAATTGTTTCATCCAAATCTTACTTTGCTCCTTGTCACTGAAGACCCAGACGGTTGCAGGTATTACACGAAGGTAATATTCCTCCAAATATATATCATTTTGTGGAATAAGCTATGCTGAAACACTGTACTCTTTTTGGTTTCTTAACTGTTTATTTAGCATGTTCCATTTACCTTTGATGAGTGAAAATATTCAGTCATACTGCAGTGGGATGAAGATAGATGCACTTGGGCTGAAGAGATCATTACATTCCGTTCACCTTGCATTTTGACATATTTTCCTTGCTTTAGGAAACGAAAGTAAAGAGATTTCTTCTTTTTTGAACAAAACTAAAAGGATTCTTCTTTTGAAGTGAGTATGGGGACAATCAAGTTCATCATCAAATTGCATTTCTGAGGTGTTCCTCTTGACCTTCAAAATATCAACTGTGATTCTTCAAAAGCCACTAGAGATGTTATATATGGATCTCACTTTTTGGTCAATCTATCATATAAGCCAATTTATTTTGAGATGATATGCTTGGCAAATGCAATTTTTCTTTTTCTTTTCCTTCTTTTTTTTGTTGTTGTTGTTTTTGTGATCCTAATGTCCCAATTTTTCTGCATGGCTAGGCTCCATTATATCTTTCTGAGTCAAGAACAGTAACTGTTGGAGTTTTACATTCTTTCAGGAGTTCAGTGGCAGAGTTAAAGTTTTAAAGGTGGATGCGGTGGACACCACAGGAGCCGAAGATGCTTTTGTAGCTGGAATCTTATCAGAACTAGCTGCTGATGTCTCATTGTGTTGATGAGGTTTGTCCCAAAGTCTCAAAGCATTGGAAAAACCGACATATTTCTCACTTCCGCACTGTAGTAATATATGGGTAAATTATTCTGCAGTTTGGGATCACTTTTGTGGAATAAGCTATGCTGAAACACTGTACTCTTTTTGGTTTCTTAACTGTTTATTTAGCATGTTCCATTTACCTTTGATGAGTGAAAATATTCAGTCATACTGCAGTGGGATGAAGATAGATGCACTTGGGCTGAAGAGATCATTACATTCCGTTCACCTTGCATTTTGACATATTTTCCTTGCTTTAGGAAACGAAAGTAAAGAGATTTTTTCTTTTTTGAAACAAAACTAAAAGGATTCTTCTTTTGAAGTATGGGGACAATAAAGTTCATCATCAAATTGCATTTCTGAGGTGTACCTCTTGATCTTCAAAATATCAACTGTGATTCTTCAAAAGCCACTACAGATGTTATATATGGATCTCACTTTTTGGTCAATCTGTCATATAAGCCAATTTATTTTCAGATGATATGCTTGGCAAATGCAATTTTTCTTTTTCTTTTCCTTCTTTTTTTTTTTGTTGTTGTTGTTTTTGTGATCCTAATGTCCCAATTTTCCTGCATGGCTGGGCTCCATTATATCTTTTTGAGTCAAGAACAGTAACTGTTGGAATTTTACATTCTTTCAGGAGTTCAGTGGCAGAGTTAAAGGTTTAAAGGTGGATGCGGTGGACACCACAGGAGCCGGAGATGCTTTTGTAGCTGGAATCTTATCAGAACTAGCTGCTGATGTCTCATTGTGTTGATGAGGCTTGTCCCAAAGTCTCAAAGCATTGGAAAAACCGACATATTTCTCACTTCCCCACTGTAGTAATATATGGGTAAATTATTCTGCAGTCTGGGATCACCATGCCATTTTGATCCTGATCATTCATGGGGCTGCTTATAGCTTTCTTGAAAAAAAATTAATGTAGATGCAACTTTTACTTGCAGCTTATGAGGCACAAATAATTTAAACTTATGCTTTTATGATTATTATTAGTTTTTAGCTTGCAACAAGCTTCACTAAACATGCTTCGTGCTATGTACCTAAACAAATTACCTCGAAAAGTATTTAGAAAATTACATCAATGGATTACATTCATTTTAGGTGTGGTTCACATCACACTAACTTTAAATCTACACAGAATACCTCACTTTTGGATTAATTTTCATAGTACAAATTCTGTGTACATAGGTAGCCGATTATGAGTGGTTGGAATAAAAAATGATGTGATAGTCTAGGACCAATGTGAGTTATGGAAACTTACGGAACTAGCACGGGACTCCCGGTTTGAAACTAAGTCCAAAAATGCATTTTTCCACACTTAAGCTTGAAAATAGGCCTTCGGGAGCCAAAATCGTGCAACAGCCACGAGACGGCCCGGAAAACACCTCAAACACATTAGGAAGGACCAATGTGAGTTATGGAAACTTACGGAACTAGCACGGGACTCTCGGTTGAAAACTAAGTCCAAAAATGCACTTTTCCACACTTAAGCTTGAAAATAGGTCTTCGGGGGGCCAAAATCGTGCAACAGCCACGAGACGGTCCGGAAAACACCTCAAACACCACGGGACGGACCAATGTGAGTTGTGAAAACTTACGGAACTAGCACGGGACTCCCGGTTTGAAAACTAAGTTAAAAAATGCACTTTTCCACACTTAAGCTTGAAAATAGGCCTTCGGGAGCCAAAATCGTGCAACAGCCACGAGACGGCCCTGGAAACACCTCACACACCTTGGGACAGACCAATGTGAGTGGTCGAAATTTACGAAACTAGCACGGGACTCCTTGTTTGAAAACTAAGTAAAAAAATGTACTTTTCCACACTTAAGCTTGAAAATAGGTCTTTGGGTGCCAAAATCGTGCAACAGCCACGAGATGGCCCGGGGAACACCTCAAACACCTCGGGAGGGACCAATGTGAGTTGTGGAAATTAACGGAACTAGCACGGGACTCCCGGTTTGAAAATTAAGTCCAAAAATGTACTTTTTATACTTAAGCTTGAAAATAGGCCTTCGAGAGCCAAAATCGTGCAACAACCACGAGACGGCTCGAGAAACACCTAAAACACCTCGGGATGGACCAATGTGAGTTGTGAAAACTTACGGAACTAGCACGGGACTCCCGGTTTGACAACTAAGTCCAAAAATGCACTTTTTCACACTTAAGTTTGAAAATAGGCCTTTGGGGGCCAAAATCGTGCAACAGCCACGAGACAGCCCGGGAAACACCTCAAACACCTCGGGATGGATCAATGTGAGTTGTGAAAACTTACGGAACTAGTATGGGACTCCCGGTTTGAAAACTAAGTCCAAAAATGCATGTTAAATTGTATATGTTATGGATAAGATAATAATTGTCTAACTGACATTTTTTTTTTTTGTGTTTCATTTTTTTGCAGATTCGAGATTTGATATGGACGGGTTTGGTAATTTGGAGGGCCGATGGTAGAATATGGACGTGTTTAATCCGCCCTTGATATTTTATTTTTATTAATATTAGTAGACATGTTTTTTGTTGGATATTAGGAGATGTGTTTCGTAATCTGCATACGGTTGATATTATATTTTTGTGGATATTAGTAGACATGTTTTTTGTGGATATTAGGAGACGTGTTATAATCCGTATGCAGTTTATATTATATTTTTGTGGATAGTGCTAAAATTCGATTGTGATGTTTATGAAAATGAACAGATTTTTGTATTGATTTGTAATAGATATTTTATTGAACAGGTTATTGAAATGCGCAGGGAATTGTTACTGAAAAGAAAAAATTTCAGAAGAAAATAGTACCTACATTTTCAAAATTTTTTATTTTTATTAGTGACGAAATAAAAAATGTTGTTATTAGTTTTCAAAAAACATGACGAATAATTTTGTCACTAATGATATAGTACGAAACAAATAATTTCGTCATATTTGTTGAATATTTCGTCGCTAAATTGAAATATTTGGTGACAAAATGTTTTGTCATTGAATAAAATTTTTTTTTGCTCATTTTAGTGACGAATTTTTTTGTCACCTTAATCTATATCATTGGTGAGGAAAACTTTCGTCACTAAAATATATTTGGTGACGAAATATTTCATCGCAAAAAACAATTAAAATAAAATATTATTTAGTTTTGGCGACGAAATTGGTGTTTTAGAGGACGAAAAATTCAACATTTGGAGACGAAACATTTCGTCGCCAAAAATGAAAAATAGGTGACGAAATTATTTTTCGTCACCAGGTACTTTTTGTGACGACGTATAGGACACGAACATGGTGACAAATTTTTTTCGTCACAGATCACTTTAGTGACGAAATTTTGATGTTTGGAGACAAAATCAGTCTGTCACCAAAAGCCACTTTTGTTGTAGTGATCGTAAAACTGGAACTTGGCAAGATCCTCTTCCACAGCTGTCAAATCATCCGTTCCCTGTCCTGGACTGTCCCCTTGGATTGCACACAGCTCTCCCCCGGCTGGAAATTCGACATCTGGTCTATTCTGGCCCATTGGTGAAATGTAGTCACTTGGATTGCACACAGCGTTCCCAACATCACTTCCAGATTCTGCAGACTCTGGCTCGACAATCTCTTTCCTGTTCTCGATGGTCACCACCACTGGCTTGGGTTGGGTTATAGAGACGTCCATCATGCACAAATCGGTGCAATCATGGAGGAAAACTTTAGGCTTAGGCAGGTAGGAGGGTGTGATATAGATACCAGGATCGTAGGATGCGACCCCAGTGTGGATGAAATTGATTCTTTTGGGTGGTGGAGCTTGGTTATGTGTGGGGAGAGTATTTGTAGTAACATTGGGTTTTTCAGGGGGTAAAATCACCCCATTATCAATGAGACCTTGGATCTCATGACGCAATCGAAAGCACGGGTCGGTGTCGTGACCATGCTGCTGGTGGAACGCACAATACTTTTTAAACTTGTGACGTACGTTTCTTGAGACGCCTATTACGCCTCTTGTTGTTAAACTAGCATTAAATTGGTAATAACAATGGACAAAGATGCAAATTATTGAAATATATGATCAAACATTATATAATAATATAGAAATATCAACATGTCACAGCAATAACAAATTACAATAAACAAATACAGAAATGTCACTACCATAGTTATTGTGATATAATACTCCTAAAGACATCACATTAATACATATTTCGTCCATTACAATGGTACTCAGACTCAGATAGGACATTAGTAAATCCTCGACCCCAACTCTGACCATATACATATTGTAACATTTAAATTATAAAAATGTCAAATTACTAAAGTCTCCCTTGCCTATCTTAATTAAATGTCATTTCAAAAAGACAAAAGTCAGGAAAGAGTTAAACCAAACCAACCAACACTAACAACCTTCTTTGAAACTGTCAGCAATCCAAAGCCCAAAACACCCAAACATATTATATTTGCATTGTTCCGAAAACAGAAAGGCAAGAACAACAAATTTTCTTTCACTTTCTTTCATTTTCTTGGCAGGAAAGAACATTGATTTTCTCTCTCTCTCGGGCACAAATGCCGCAAGATCAGAGAATTGTTAAAGCCGTTGTGGCCACAGCTGCAAGTACTCTACTTATTGCTGGGATCATATTCTTGATAATCTACAAACTAGCCATGGCTCGACATCGGCAAAGAAATAAATTAAATTCAAGTTTTCGTCGAGAAGAGATGGTGGCAAGTCATCAGGAGTACAGGCAACAAAGGGGAACCCTGAAAGGATTGATTGTTGATGAGAACGGGCTGGATGTGCTTTATTTGAGAAAAGTTGAACGAGGACAACTTACGAGTTGTTTCTCTAGAGTTTGGATTAATCCAATGGAAGAAGAGGAAGAAGAAGAAGAAGAGAAGAGGATTGATGCTAGAAGCGATAAATCCAAGAACTCCGAAGGAATTCAGGAAATTCCGTTGCTTCGTGAGCCGTGGAATACAGCTGCTCTTGCCGAAGTGCCAAAACCAGTACTACTGCCACGGTGGCCTCTTCTGCCACAACCTCCTCAGCCTCCTCCTCCACCTCCAACGGGGCCAAGGAAGCACAGCCCACCACCACCACCTCCACCTCCACCTCCACCACCACCACCGCCGCCGCCGCCTCCTCTTAAAAAACTTCCCACACCACCTCCTATGCCACCGATTTCAGCAAAGAGAAACCCTGCTCCACCACCTAGGGCAGGTGGCTTGGTTTCATCATTGAAACCCCCTCCTGTACCAAGGGGGAAGACAAGCAGCAATAGCAGGGGGGAGGCATCTTCCATTGGAGAAAGCACAAAAGGGACAGGTGATTTCCAGATGAAACTGAAGCCGCTGCACTGGGATAAGGTTGCAGCCAACGCTGATCATTCAATGGTTTGGGATGAGATCAATTACAACCCATAATTGTAAATTACCCCTGAAATCTCATACATATTACATTCCATTTGTTTTGGTGAAATTACATTCCATTTGTTTTGGTAAATTACATTCCATTTGTTGTGGTGGTGATGGTGGTGGTGGTAGAAGTGAGTGGCAGTGGCGGTGGCGGTGGCGGTATTGGTGGTACGGTGGTGGTTGTGTGGTGGTTTTCATAAGAGCTTAATTTGGAAAATGTTTTCTACTTTTTAAAAGCCAAAAACAATTTCCTCAAAAAAAAAACTTGTTTTTCATGATTAGTGATTTGCACATGATTTGTCTTGTTTTAGTAAAATTTTACTTTGATCCTTATAATTTTAATTTCACCAATTTAACTCCACATTTTCATTATGCTTTAATATGACCTCTTTGTCAGTTTTTGTTAATATTTCAAGTGAAAAAAATCTCACATGCAACTTTCGTGAGAACTTTAGCATTTCCCTCACAATAAGGAAAATGAATAATTTATACTTATAGTCTCTATAGTTTGTTCTTAATTTCACTTTGAAAATTCATTTATTCATTTTCTCTATGGATTTAGATCGTTGAAATTAAAACAAAAATAGTGAAATTTCACTCAAATAAAAGGGACTGATGTCATAGTTTACCTAACTTGTTTTAAATATGGTGAAATTAGTAAAATGGGTGTCTAGAATTTTTTATTTTTTTATTTTTATTTTATTTTTTATTTTTTATTTTTTTTAGTGTGCTCAACGGACACTTGTTTGGGAAACCTTATCAAAATAAATATTTTTATTAAGGCTATATTTGAATTATCGATTTGAAAAAAAAATTGAAAGAAAAAGTTGTAAAAAAAATAGTTTAGAAATTTTTGAATTAAAAAATGCGTAACGTTATTACAAAAATCCGTAATACAAAATACGTAATTTTATTTTAGAACTACAAATGTCATAATACTATCAAAAGATTATATAATATTTTCGTATATTTGTATAATATATGCTAAAAAAAATACATAACAAAATGGATATAGAGTGTGTATCAGGTATTTCCCATAACTAATTAAGGCATTGATTTCCACATTAATTTGCAACGGATTTTGGTTTCAACCTAATCTATTCGCTTGGATGCCATTGACTATGCTATGGCTTATTTGTGATTGATGACATTAGTTTTGTTGTTGGTGTTAACAACAGCTGTTGCCTGTATTAGCCATGTGAGGAACACAAAAATTGAATACAAAATAAATTATCTAGCTGACTACTGCTACAATAGGAGCTTCATCATTCTATGAGGTTCCTTATTTAATAGGTTGGACTGTGTGATTGTGAATGTGTATGCCCTAATGATGTGAGTGCTGGAGAAGCTTATGAGTTTATTTGATCAATCTTAAGGTTGTTTTTCCCAAACTGTGGTGTATAGGGGGGGACTTTAATGAAATCAAATCAATAGATGAAAGGAAGGGTTGTGTAAGAAGGGACAGGGGAATGGCAGATTTTTGTAAGTTCATAAGTTGTCTGGAACTGATTAACTTCCCTATGTTGGATAGGAAATTTACTTGGTGTAATTCTGTGGAAGGGGAGAGATGGAGCAGGTTGGACAGGTTTCTTGTTGAGCCAGAATGGTTGGTCTGGTTTTGGTTCAAACTTTGGGGTCGTCCTAGATCCATCTCAGACCATTGTCCAATTATTCTTATGGAAGATGACAGAAACTGGGCCCAAAGCCATTTAGGTTCGTAAATGCTTGGGCATCTCATCCCTCTTTTCTTAAGCAGGTGAAGAAAGTGTGGGAGGGTACTCAGGTGGATGGCTGGGCAGGTTACAAACTGAAGATTAAGTTGCAGGCACTTAAACAATCTCTACGGCAGTGGAACTCTTAAGTGTTTGGGAATATAGATTCTAAACTAAAGCAAGCTAAAGAGAATTTGCATGCCATAGATCTAATTGCTGAGAGCAGAGATCTGGATGAGGTTGAAGGTATAAAGCGAAGAGAGGTATGGGGGGAAGTATGGAGGCTCAGAAAGATAATGGAAAGAATTTGGCTGCAGAAGTCAAGGTTGAACTAGAATCTTAAGGGTGATAAAAATACAAAATTTTTCCACATCATAGCTACTAATAGGAAGAACACCAATGCCATTGATTCCATGTCAGTGAATGGGAATTAGTGAAGGAACCTTTGGAGGTTAAACAAGCCGTGTGTGATCATTTCAATTTAATCTTTTCTGAGCAATGGACGTATAGA